ACAAACCTGTGCATTCTTTATTGCATCTTTAGAAACTAGCATTGAACAATATAATAAAGCCTTGAGAATTTGTTGCTGCTGAACAGATAGGATGTAAGAAATCAAATATTTCTTCATTAAATCAAAAACCTTAAAAAAAATTGACTCTATAATTGAAGGTGCATTATTTATTGGAAGACTTTGGAGATAATTATTATGTCAGACCTATTAGGCTTCATTATCTAGTAAATTTTGAATATAATTATGCAATGTGCATAGTAAGAATATGCTATTTGTTCCTTCTTTCATTAATCTGTTCATTACTCCAACTCTTTGTGTGCTTTGTATTCCTGTCATGAAAATATTAATTTGAAAGCATTTAGCTTATGCCTGATAATTTGGATATAAATTGTGATTAAGATACTCTTGTGATTCAAAAAATTTGTCAATTAATTGTGCCTATTACTAATGAAAGTCATTCACAAACAAACTATTTCTTATATACAAAAACTTCTTGTAAAATATCTTATAATTTTTTTCTAATTTATTGCATAAATTCTTTCTTAAATTTTCTTGTATATGAAATATACAAAAAAAATAATAGGTACTAGGCATTTTTGATGCCACTGCATTTATTAATACAGGGTTAGCATCTAATAACAAACAAACTGGTAGTACATTATTGGTTACTTGAAAGATATACTCAAAAAACCATATATAGCTTTGGACTGTTTTATCTTCAGACAAACACTATGCAACTAATCAACTCTTTGTATTATTGTGCAAAATAACCAAAAGGTCAAATACATATTAAACCAATTAGTACAACATGTATTGTCCATTTGGACTGCATCATCATATTGCAAAAATCACTGATATTGAAGAGGAGACATTCAGAACAGTCCAATGAGTTAATTATCAAATAGATCGATCCTTGTATAAATTATCCAATCTTCTTTCTTATTTTTTAACTTTAACAATTTGTTTATTATGTTTTGTGCATCTTCATGTCAGTTTGTAAGAAGTGGTTTAAACCTTTTTATAGCATTATAAATATTCTTTTTCAATATTGCATAGTCTGGAAATTTAGCAACTAGTAAAGAGTATATTTGTTTTGCTCTTATATTACCTTTAGTAACATAGAATTTAATGTCCTCCATCATACTATCTGTTAAGTTTCAATATTTAGAAGCATATAATTCTACATTATGTAACATAGGATGGTTATGTTTTTTACATATACTTGTAGCACCAACCTCAGTTGATAATTTTGGCTTTGTAAGATTAATATGCCAGGAGCAATTGATTTTTCTTGAAGGCCATTGATGCTGCTGCATTAAATTAATAACTTTTTTATAAACTGCCTTTTCAGAAAAACTACATTCAAATGTCCATCATCAAATATTTCCTTCTGCATCTACTTTAACTCATTTATGACACAAAAAAAATCTATTGTACTTAGTATACTTGTTAAGATGTGATTCTGCAACATTCCAAAAAAAAATATATCACTAACATTAATCTAATTATCAGATCCACTAACATTAATTTAATTATCAAACTCTAAGATAATACTTTCATTTAAACATTATTATAATTATCAGACTCTAAGATGATACTTTTATTTGAAACATTATTACAGCTGCCCTAAATTGGCTAAACTTCTGATACTAATTTACTTTCTATATTTGTATAATCTTGTTTATTAGAAATCTACTAACTGTACAAAAAACAAAATCTATAACTTTGACTTATCTTTCATGTTCATATTTATTACTAACAAAATGCCAAAAAGGTTTCAAAAACTCAAATATGTTGTGTATTATTATACAAAGACAGATTCAATAATGTTTTTATAGAAAGTCTTCACAAATATGCTTTCATTAGATAACCTTTTACTCTATAAGGGTCTTCACAATTACTTTCCTACTTCAATGCCAAATTGGTTATGATAAAGTTAATGTAGTATTTTGGCAACAGAGTTTTACTAGTAGTAAGCTGTTATTATATATATAAAGTTAATAAACATGGTCTAAATTCATAAATTTGCTAATCTTAACAATAAGCACAACACAAAATTACCTTATATAGCACAATTCTTAACTCTTATAAAGATTTTGCTAATGCCTTTTTTATTTTACTATTAAGATGATAATTGTAAAGTTCAAAATAGTAGTTTTATAAAGAGCTACTTTCCTTCTGTACCAAGTTATTATTATATATATAGTATGAAAGGTTTAACAATTTCAGCATTTATAAGCATAAGCATACAATACAAACTTACTTTATATGTTTCAATATTAATAAGTATAAAATTTTCAGATTCGTTATGCAAATACTTATTACTAAATTCTAGTTAGATCATTACCTTTTGTTTATTCTAATAATGTATATATTTGATGTAACTTAATGCATAGGAGGAACTATCAATGCTACACAACTTATCTTTACCTAGTATGCAATATATAAATATTTTAAAATAACAGAACATGTACTAACAGTATTGTAAAATAATTTATTTATATATTGCACACTGTGTGAAAGATTAGTTGTATTACATTGATGATTCCTCCTGTCAACTCAATGTAACTTAATGTAACTTAACATGACTTGATGTACTCAATATGACTTGATATAACTAACTTATGTTACATAGTAATTATCACTATTAGTTATTAAAACTAAAACTCTTTATTTAATATGCAGTTATGATTTTTTTATAAAAATTTGAGTAATTTTGTCTAAATTTTTGGTCATTACTATTGGCTAATCAAAATAGTAAATTTTTACATATTTTTTGCAAAATTTAATAGAGGTAATTACATTAAGCATGTTTTTAATTAAAGGTTTCATCTGATCTAATTTTTGTAATATAATTCTAAATTTTATTATTATTATTATATATATTATTTATTTTTAAAAGAGAAACTTAATTATAAAAAATATTTTTTTAATTTAAACAAAAAATACCAACAATAAAGAAGATAAATTTTTGCAAATTATAGTATTTTGCATAGTGGTAAGAGCTAATCATATGGTGATTGACTCTATAGAAGACAATTTTGAAAGATTATTTACAATATCTTTAATCTTTTATGATCTTTATACATGTTTTAACAAATTTCTTCTTTATTATTATTTACTATTTCTTTCTCATGGTCAAATTATCCAAACTCTAATTCAACATATTAACAAATATAACAATAACAAAACTGTATTTAGCATTACATTTTTTGTTAATTCATCTTATAATAAAACCTACATATATTTTTCTAATGACACTCTTTTATCAGATTATATTGTTATTGCCTCATATCTTCTTTCTATATTATAAATTTTCCTCTCAGATCTAATTCCTTTAATTCTACTTCTATCTTATTTGATTTATTTTTTGACAACCATTCTTTAATCTTTAATTGTAATTCTTCCTCACCTTTATCTAACATTATCTCAATCTAACTATTGTTGTATACAATGTTAAAGGCTTTAATGAATCTACTAAAAAAGAGGCATAACAAGATTATTTCTCAACTATAATATATCAATTGCAATCATTACAGAAACTAAAATTTTTGACAAAACTAATCTTTTCTTTTGTAATAATAACTTTTTTTACTTACTATTGGTCTAACTCTTTTACTTCTATTGAAGGCACTGCTATCATGATCCACAATAATCTTAAACCTCATATTCACAGTATTTATATCTATCTTAAAGGTGCTATAGCACTTGATATTTTTTTTTGAAGTAATATCAAGTTTCATATTATCTTAGTTTATCTGTTATCAACTGATATCACTACTTGTAATTAAACTCAAAATACTGTTATTAACTGAACCCAACAAGCCTCTCAACTTTATATTCTTCCTATTATTTTTAGTGATTTTAATACACAAGACAATACATACAGCTTCTATCTAAATATAAACTTATTAATTTTCTTAATAATATTAATACATATGATATTGAAGCCTATTTTAACAACAAATATTCTATTTGGTCTAATAAGACTAGTAGTAGTTATATTGACTATATTTGGACTGACCAATTAATATACAATTTCTTCTTTTTTATAGTCTTAATAACAGCCAAACCTCAACTTCTAGTGACTATCTAATTCTTACCTCTACATAAACATTTCCACATGTCTATAGCAAACCTTTACATAAACATACTGGTATTAGTTGCCACATCTTTAACTATATAGTTATGTCTGCAGAGAACTAGAAATCCTTTGCAGACACCTTATTCCAACAACTCTTACTGCACAAAACTCTTATCAATAGTAAAACTGATGAAAGTATTAAAACAATTTGGCACAAAATTCAATACTCTATTATTTACTCTGCTACTCACACCATCCCTAGTAAAGTCTTATGTAAACATAGTTACAATCATCAATACTCACCTCACAGTACCCTATTACATTTATCTTTAAAAACTTGGTCATATTATTAAACTTGTTAAAAAACTTATCCAATATTTTGACAAACAGTCACAATGTGACCTTCAACTATTTAACTCTACCAACCTATCTTGCACCCAACTATAGCTTCAACATGCTTACTCTATCTTGAAACAACTTTTTTATGCTTGTCATCTTGAAAACTCTTTCCTATTTTGACAACAAATTAACAAAGCTACTAACAAAAGATGTATTACTCTCACATCACATTCTATACAAGCTATCAATAGCATTCTTAATTACTATCATCAACCTGTTTATCTCTCTAATATAAAATTATCTAATGAGCTTATAACTGATTTACTACTCATTAAACAGCCTGTTTAATCACATTTTCATGACTGAACTGCATTCAGACCTATTAATAAAACTCTTTTTGATAATTTTTGGCAACAACACTATCTACTAGTACCTTATATCAATCCAACCTGGTATCAATCTTTGAACTTCTTCATTACAAATAAAGAACTTTCTCAAACTCTCTCTTAGCTTACTAACAACAAAGCCTGTAGTCCTACAGGCATTAGTTATAAAATGCTCAAACACCTTAGCTTTGATTGCACTTCTGCTATTACTAGTTTCTTCAACTGTTGTCTTTCTGAAAATAGAATTTCTAAGCAATGAAAACATAGCAGAATTTATCCTATTCCCAAACATAACTCCTTTGATAGTGATCTTAATCTTAATCAACCTATAAGTCTTATTGAACATATCTGCAAACTATATACCAAAATCCTTATAAATAGACTAAGCACTATATTTTCTTCTACTACTATTCTTTTACCTTTTAATTATGTTGCATTTTCTAATAATAGCACTTCAATTCCTATTCATATTTTTAATAATTTTATTAAAGATGTTACTTGTAATCATAAGTATATTTGGCTACTTTTACAGGATATAAGTAAAGCATATAATTCTGTTAACTTTATTTTTTTTAAACATTCACTTTTTTGTTTGGTACTCTTGACTAATCATTAAAACCAAGTTATTACTAATCTTGGTCTTACTTTCTTTTACTCTGTTCACAATAATATTGACCAAGATGAAACTATTACTCCTTTATAATGGCATATATACTACAATTTATTTATCTTATATATACATGCATAAGTACCTGGTTATATCTTACAATCCTTTTGGATTACCAATTTTAAACTCTAAACATTTAACTCACTACAAAAACAATACTCTGTTTTGGCATATATAGATAATATTCTTTAAGTTGCTTTATTACAAACTAAGCTTTCTAACATATTATCTATAGCTGAATTATTTTATCTATAGCTAACATTCAAGTTAACTCTACAAAATCTATTCTGGTTACCAATAACCCTCCATCTTACTACATCTCTATCCCTATAATAATCGTCTTCTTCTACTACATTCTCTTAAACAACACTTTAAATTTTTAGGTTGCTAGTTCACCTTGAACAATAGGCAATCTAAACAAACAAAACTGCTTATTGCTGAATTTTTTTAACTCATTCAAATTGCTAAAACCAAACATA